CCCCAGTGAAATATTGATGATCGCGCTCTTCTTGGCGTCTACCTCGGACACGACCCTCAATCCAAATACTACGACGAGTGTCGCATCCAAAGTGCCTAAACTGGCCGCATTTGGTTCTGCTACTGCCTACTCATCCCCCTGGTCCACCCCCGTCTGCAACCAACTTTTATCCCACCCCTTCTGCCTCACTCCCAGCTGACGTCAATTCGACTCCCGTGTCGACTTCGATGACGATGACACTCCTACAGCCGACTGATTCCGATGGTGAATTCGACTACGATGTTCCTGCCGCATCTCTTCCTACTGGTTCTTCCACTACTGCCTCCGATCCTTTGGAAACCTCAATCAATGCTGATCTTCAGTCTCATATTGCCAAGCACCCCACATCACGCACTCTACGCAATCTCCTCCTGCCGTCACGCACTAATTCTGGTACATTGTATTGAACGCACCCCCCCTTGCTCAATAGTATACGTAAGACACGCCAACGCACCGCACCAATGACGTCTCATAATGGACACGCTCAACACAACATCGCGCTCGTTCCTTCGCACCCTGAGATCCCACACGTGACCTGGTCTCCTGATTTAGAAAACACCGGTGTCCTACAATTCGGTCGTAGACCACTTCCCCGTGACCACCTTATTCTCAGAAAGAAGCCACACTTTGCATTATATTCGCGAATGCGCTTGCACACCTTCGCCGTGCCAATCCAAAACAAAGCCGATAAGCAGCTACGGCGTACAACAATAAAACTCGCTCGATCCCATGAGCACACCGTCCTACAGTCTATCACACAACCGCGGGATGACATACCCGTTCCAATCAATATCACACCGCCACACCAGCATGTGACACAGCAACAACTATATGACGATGCGGCTCACAAATTTTACACTACCTGCGTGGCCGTACAATATATACCGCTTACCTTTCACTCAATTCGCGAGGCACTCCGCGGCGAAGATGCCGACACCTTTGGCGCGCAACGATCATCTGTGAACTTGACAGTCTGGCACGTTCGGGCACTTATGATCTTCTCAAACCCACGGGAGTCCATTATAAATTCATTTCCAGCAAATGGGTCTCTGAGGTAAAAATGATTGATGGAATCGTTGATAAATACAAAGCGCGATTGTGTGCTTGTGGGTTCCCCCAAACACAGTGCATTAACTATGGCTCCTACTGTTTTCACGAGATATTGTGTTCCGTCCTCGCCGTTGCAGCCTCGCAAAGCTCAGATGGATGTTGACACCGCATATTTATATGCTGATCGTGATTAGCCTATCTACATGCGGCCTCCTCCTGGTTCTAGCTCAGTGGGTCTACCTGACAATCTGTTCTTGCTTAAAAAAAAAAGGTGCCTATATAGCCTCAAACAGTAGGGCCGCCTTTGGCACGCTCTTATTAAGTCCAAACTTCTAGCCATGGGTTTCTCTCAAAGCTTTGCTGATCCTTGCATGTTCATCATTGACGAGCCGGGCTTCTCCTGCGTTATTCTGCTCTACGTCGATGACATCATTATCTGTGGTATGCAATATTCCGACGTTGATCGTTTTTAAACAGCTAATCACCAGCGAGTTTGGCTGCAAGGATTTTGGCATGCCTCGCTGGTTACTGGGCGTTAGCGTCCTCACCACCAATGACTTCAAGACAACTACATATCCGATGCACTCACCCCATTTGGCCTCCAAGATGCTCATGTTGCACCTACACCTGCGACTCAAGACGCCGTCAGCCTACATGATGGTTCCCGCTTCGACTAACGCTACCGTGAACTCATTGAAACCCTTCAATATCTGCCGGTCCTCACTCATATCGATTGTAGCTTTCCGCTCAACAACCTCGCACGCTACATCACCAATCCGTCGCTCACTCATTGGACAGCTGCCCAACGCATTCTACGACATCTTAAAGGTACGCCGGATATTGGCCTCGCCTACCGGTTTCAGCCCGGTGCTCCCGTCGTTGATGCTTTTGTCAACGCCAATTACAATGCTTGCCCTGATATTCGTCGTTCTACGAGTGCCTACGTGTTAAGTATCAGCCTTGTTTCAGTAGTTTGGAAAGCCAATCGTCAGTAGGCCGTCACGACTAGCACCGCTGAAGCCGGATATTACGCTGCGTCTGAGGCTGGCAAAAAGATTCAACGGCTCCGCAAGATATTATCCGAAATAGGCTTCCCCCAATCCGCGCCAACACCGCTCAATTGTGATAACCAGTCCGTATTTCATGTCATTGCAGATACTAGTACTAACAAACACCTCAAGCATGCGGACATCCGCCTTCATCATATTCACAGTAATCTCCAGTCCCAAGGTATTATTCAGAACAACGTCGCTGACATCCTCACCAAGAACACAGTGCGTCCCACACATTCCCGCCATAACGCCTACATGCTCTTCATTGGACCTCATACATTCGATGCTGTTCACGGAAACAATCCAGGGGAGAAGCACACTACACTACAGTGAACAGCAGAATGTATCCTCAAATACATGCACACTGCTGGTTTTAGGGTTTTGTAATATTTCAAATACAATAGCAGTTCGGTACTAAGTATGATACACATAAGAACTGACAGATGTCAGTGTCATTATAATTATGACACTCAAATTTATATAGAAATATAGTGCTATATGCTTTCGTGTGAGCACTTACAATGTAAAAAGATTATATATCCCTTGATAGAAGGGTTAAAAATTATTCATAGTGCTATACGGTTTAACAGCCAGAGGACAGGACCATATAGTGGAATAAAGTGTTTAATTAGTGAGAAAGATGATTCATCGGGTGCTATCATAATTAAGTAACTAGGAGACCAAAACCATAGGTACGGGTAATTTCACAATTACCTGTTGTCAGAGAAAATCTCGTCCCACCTAGGGACGTTATTAATAAATACAGCAGTCGCGTCGTTCATAACGACACTTCTGACTGAGTTCACGTATTCAGACTTCGCACTTTTTATAAAGCGTTACTCGATTTTGACTACATTTTTAGGTGACCGAACTACTGTTTTTATTACACTACGTTCTTTATAAAATAAATTAACTAAGAGTCAATTAATTTAGTTAAAATAAAATTGCTTACAACATTGAAGTGACCTAGTATACACCGGTACCTGAAGTAGGCACGCAAGCTTGTGAACGGCTATCAAAACGGCCGCTTGGAGTTCATCGTCGATTGCCTTTATTGTGTGCTAAGGCGGAGACAGCATTTTCTATAGATCAGATACTTAAGAATGAAGAGAAGGCAGAAATCGACGTGACACTGGCCCGTTTGTGTTGGGAGGCCCAACACTCGCTTTTTACGTTGGAATATGTCAAACAGTTTCCGGAGAGATTTTTGATCGGGATGGACACTTGAGGACGCTGACGCCTGTGCAAGAGGCCACGGAAATTATTTATCTCATTCGTGGACAACTCAGCCGACTTCTTGAATTTTCAATGGCAAATTTTAACCCATCTACCTCCAATGACACGGTCCAGACGGCATTGGGTGATGATTATCTTGAGCAACAGGTAGCGTCAACATCGCAACCGCAATGAGCTCCTTAACACCCAACGCAGGTAAGGACAAGACCAACTGACCAGTTACCTAACAGCGTGCAGGACGATATGAAGCAAATTAGCTCAGTGAAACGCAAAATTGGCCGCACGAAGACGATACCTCAAGTGGCACCTTACGATAATGTACACGTTACTCGTAAAGAGCGTATGTTGAAACACGCTCAAAATTGAGCACAAGAAATTCCGACACCTGATGAGTTGGCGACTGACTTTGGTGATTCGAGTCGTACTTAGGAATCGACGACTTTGATATCTCCTGGTAGAGTTTAATTGGAACCAGCGGATTTGCACTTTGTATTGGACATTCCCTAGAATTCGTCCTTGTCGGCAAAGCGTTCCGTCGATGCGTTCCAGAGAGGTATGAAATCTCCACGGCAACAGCTCAATCAAGGCCAAGTAGCAGCGAATTTATTTCGTGACAACTGCAACGCCATCGTCGTCTACACTCACCAGAAGAGATGAAAGAAAAATTGTCAGAATACTGCAAATATACCTATCGATACGATTGCATATCGTAAACGCCTCCCTGTTCAGCACGATTGTTACTCAGAGGACCCATAGGATGTGAAACGATGTAAGCTATCAGCACCCACAGAGTCGTGTATCACTGAGTCTACAGCGGCAGAGAGGAAGATGCAGGTCTTTCATCTGACCCAACGTATGATGCAAACAGAGGCTGAGGGATAAACGATGCGCGTGCGTTGCAGGGTCTAATTCATATGTCTAACGAGACTTTGAAGACATGCTCAGTGATGCTCGACAAACGGACGCCAAAGAATGACCACCTAATCCGCAAGGCAGCTATTATTTAGACAACCCGCTGAAGATTCAGCTGCATGCGTTTATTTTAGACTGGCATAAGAATGCAACATTTCACAAGTTAGATCCGATTCGTATGCAGATGGGCCTACATAGGGCTCAACATAAAGAAGGGGTATCTTAGGCGCTATTAAATTTTTTTCGTGGAGAACGAGCAAAAATTGCAATCGATATCGTTTCAGGAAACCATTGTTTTTATCGTCCGCATACACTAACAGGACTTGGAGGATAATTCAAACAGAAATGTGTTGGCATGTATGAAGTTGAAGCCTTTAGTTCCACTTGAGACACGGATTCGTGATTTGAACGCAAAGTTGAATTTATGGAGATGCGACAGTATGAGAATCCGTTGCAGGTTTACCGCAATCATGGTGTGCTAACATGGTACGCCAAGCTGCGGGGTGCATATACTATCGCGATACTCTTCGTTGCATCCAAATTGGCGAGACTACTCGTCTGAACAGATGCGTGACGTATTCGGGGTGAACATTGACAAAGCAGAAGAATATCACGGATGTGAACACGCGAGATAGCCCACACTCGCCACCAACATCGAATCGTCGGGTTCGTTGTCGATCGTGTGAGCAAAACTTCTTCCAGGACCAAGACATGCAAACCGCTGTCATAACCATCAGCGAGCACCTGTACCATCCAACATGGGTCCCCATACACAATCTGGTGGGGCGACTACATAACGTATGTCGGGTACAAGCACATCGACGAGTGCGTCGCAAGCGTCAGGCAACAATTTCTACCCTCGCGTTTAATTTAGTATACGGTTATCAGGTACCTGATCAACCACCAGCCGAAATGGGGGATACTAAAGTGATGCATATCCATGACTTGGTCGACGAGTCGTATGTGCAGAATGACGTCGAGTTGATGGAAGATGAGCAAATACCAGAAGGTTGGAAAGCAGGAACAAATTCGGAGTGAAGTGCTGCGGTGTCTGACATGAACATGTGCATGTCATTTAGTCGTACGGCAACAAAAATATTTGCAGTAAACGATAAATTATTCGCTA